AGTGTTTTAATCTGAAAAATGTTAATTAAAATTCTATGGTTTTTCAACTAGGTATATGGGAGCGAATTGAATGACCCTGCTTTAAGTTATTTCAATTAAACATTTTTAAAATTAGCAAGACCAATTTTATTTAGAATAAACCTTGAAAATATGAATAATTTTTTCTAGTTTGCATTAAAAACTATAATTTTATTTTTGAAGAGAATTAGTGAGTAATGATCTGGTTAATATTTTTATTACATATGTTTACTATATTGCAATGCGATTATTTTTTCTAAAAGTATAACTGACGACAAAAGTGGGAACTTAGAAGTAATTAAATAGAATTATGTCGTGTGTTTTTTATAGGATGGATGAAACTTAAAGAGCCAAGCGATATCTTGAAGATACCGGATTCCTTATGGCTCACTCATGTCGCATAGACCTGCCAAGTATCAAGACCTCACGCAGCGTCCGCGATAACGTATCAAGTTTGTTCAGGCATTGTTCAACATTTTCCATCTTATTTTATGTATTATAAGCCGGGTTCAACATACTATAGAGTATTAATTCACTAAAACGTTAGTACTGAGTATTAGTAAAGTATAAGTAAGACAAATAAATTTTTTGTCATTTCATTTGACATCAACTTATAATCTCCGCAGCTAGGCAGTGTTGACGTCTAACAAATCTTTTAAGCATTTCTTCAATTTTCTCATTAACATTCTCATAGTAGGTTGTAGTCATAGATCAAATAAATTATTTCTAGTAGTATTTATTTAATGTAATATGCAATTTTCATATCCACAATTTTATAGGGTTAATTGTGACATTTTCCTGTTCACTTATGAATCGATTAACTTAGTTTTCACTGAAAAATTTACGGGGAGCTTCTCGATCATCAGTTCAAAATTTCCTAATAAATGTGTGATCATTAAAGAACGACCAAATTTACTCGGAAAAGATTTGAAAGAGAAAAGCTAGATAAACGGACAAAGTAACATGAAATCCTATCGATAAAAAATTCCACGAGTTTAAGAACTGCATGAGCGTTGTTAAGGCAAGATCTTCTTGATCATGCAACGATTTAAACATCCTTACGTCTGAAGCGCTCGAAGAGGATTCTAAGATCCTAAAGTCGTTCTCAAACAAAAATATTTTTGCACCGATAGAAGTAACAGATGCGATTGAGATCTCTTCTTAACCTCTTATTTCTTCAACTATCAGCAAAACCACGCTGGAAATACAGGTGAATAGCTCTTATTTAGCATATAAATTTAGCCATTTAAAATGTGGTACATTTTCACCTTACGCGTGCCGGTAAGGGTAAGAATTTTTCATCAGCAGATTGCCGATATTTTGCATTTGCAATGAAATGCAAAAGATCGATGACGACGCTGCAGATATATTCAGTCAGTCCAGATAGAGTATTTTTCTCACGCTACATAATCAAGTCCCGGTAAAGATGGAATTTATTGTGTACGTTTACTTTTAGTTCTCTTATTACTTTATTAGCTACGCAGTTTACGCCGACTTCCCACGACTATACACGCTCGCTAGCGCATATCATTATTTATAGCTTCACGTATGCAGACTTGGAAGAAGTCCGTTTCAGTGGAAGTTCTTTTAATAGAATTTATAGTTGAAGATACTAAGAAAATGCTTGGAGCCATAGACGATTTAAAACGTAGGTTGACACTCGAGTGAAAGATAAAATCCGAGTATTAAACGAATGAATAAACGATCTTGTATACATTAATTTATTTTGTGTCATCTTTATAATAAAACATACTATTTGTGAGACATATGGTAATTGTTCGATAAACATTGTGAAGCTATGTCTGAAAATACTGTTAAAACTGACACGATTTTTTTAATATTCCGGTTTCTCGAATTTCAACTTACTGATTATAATTTAATCAAACACGAAGGCGGGGGAGAAAATTCATTCTGGATTACAACAAAAATCATTAATGTAGTCATGTAGATATGAAACCAATTTATTCACCAGTAACACGAGAAATAAATTTGTATCAAACGTACATATTAAAAAAATCTAAAACAATTGTGGCAATATTCAATTAAAAATTATTGAGTGGTTGTTGATATATGACGATCATTTACCCTGTTACTGTACTTACGTTGGAATCAATGTGTTCATATTTTGATTTGTTATAGAGCATACATAAAACATTGAGATCATGCCAGTTTTTTCCAATATATTATAAAAACTGGTGAATTTGGTGGTTTCAGACATGCAGTTCTTGCCTGACGGATCTTATGACACAGGTTAAAAAAAATATATTTAAAGATTAATTAGTTATAGAAATATTTACTTGGGCATATAATATTTAATCAACCAGAACTGTTGAAAGCCTATGACTAGCAGAAAAATTTTTAATTAAGGGAACAAATTTTGATATTTTTAAAATTTTAAATAAATGTGCATAAGCTGAGAGATTTAATTTGTGGGAGAGTTTAATGCAGAAGGAATTTATATCGATTTGAGGAAAATTGGGTGCTGAACAAACGAGTGCATGCCTGAGATAGAACACATAAAAATTAAGGACCAGTCAAGCTCATCTGATTTGTTTTCTGCGAACGAGGCTTCGACTTGAAGGCCACTCATGAAAAACAATAATAAAAATTATTGTCATATGTTGGAGGCCGAAGAGATGATTGATCAGACGACTGAACTGTACCCATGTTCTTGAAGTCGGCGACAATTATGAACAAATTTTTTGAGACAATAAAGACAGGACAAATGTACAATACGCGGATAAGAGCGGCAATTTGATTGGTTATGAATTTGATTGGTAACTACTCGAGATTGACTGTCGGAGACAGGTAGGTTGGACGAAACTATACTACTATGTACACGCTACGGGCTCAAGCCCTATGTTACTGTCGGGACAACGTGAGGTTCCCGACATCATCCCGGCCGATAAATAGACATAACTAGTAACCTAACAACAAGGTGCTTCAATTGACTAGACAAATAAATCTTCAAGGCAAATTTATAGAGTCTACACGTCCTAAAGAATTACTTTCAAAATATTTAGGAAAAGTCCGATCGCTAAATTAGGAAAGAGCCTTTTCAGCAGCTAGACAGCGCGGGCTATAGGCGTTAATAGTTTCAACAAATTGCGCTGGCTCTTGTCGTGGGACATGCGCGGTAACCTCTGACGGTTAAAGGTTAATAAAAGTTTAAAAGATGTATCCTGAGTCTGTAACTAATTCTACGGAACGAATAAGGTTATTGCTAGCGACAATGAAAGCAATAAATCTTCCTAATTTTGAAAGTACACAAGGTAGTGGAATCGCTATTAGTTTGTACAATATCTACTATCTTAGCAGTATTGCAAGAAACAACACATTGCCGGGCCTAGATCCTTCACAAAGTGAAGTCACTTGGTAGAATGGGACACTTGTTAGATACTGTGCATGAATGTGTTCATTCAAATACGGGATTTCGCGTTCAGTTCATGTTTAGTTTTTCAGCTTATTCAGGTTTTCTGACCTTGATATATTTATACAAAAATAGCGATCGCGCACAAGAATGTTTAGCGGTGTGCGCGTTTCTATTTGCATTTTCAGTAATTATATTTTAACTCAAGACTTTTTATTACTTGCTAGTTTTCATATACATTGCTAAAGTTAATTATTCGGCTATATCGTTACCTGATATGCAATACACTGTTAGAAAAAACTGTGAAAAAACGGTCCCACCGGCATCCTAGTGGCCGGTCGCCCCGTGAAAGTGAACGGTTTTGCCGTTTTTATCAGATGTTTTACGGATTTCTGGTGTTAAATTGGAATAAAAACGGTGAAACATTGTTTCTTTTCACGTGCCGACCGGCCACTGAAACGCCGGTAATACCGTTAACGGTCATTTTTCTAACAGTGTAGGTTTAACCAGAGCTAATAACTTATTTACCATCTATGTCACCTCATATCCGCTAATTAACTGCCTGATCTACCGTTTTAACATCATCACCCGATCTACTGTTTTAACCTCATCACCCGATCTACCATTTAACATCAACACCCGGTTTACCGTTTTAACATCATCACCCGATCTACCGTTTTAAATCATCAGTATTCTACTGTATTAACCTATTAGATTATTTTCACCCACATTCTACAGTCAGGTTTGGTCCCACGATATCACCTGACTATATACAGTCAATTTACAGGCACGCCTTTCGGTGACTCAAATAAATTTTCTCAGGATTAACGCCTCTTGGTCATGAACTGGAAGCGTCCTTCAACGTTTCTGCGCGGAGACATAAGTTCACGGATGATTCTTATTACGATACACTTGGCCTTGGCTTTAAAGGGGTAATCAAGGCACAAAGATCCATTAATTAAAAAATTTGCTTGAAATTTAATCTTTAATTTCATTGTACCACGTCAAAGAATAGACTTTTCAGTTTGTATAGTCGCATATGTTGAGAGGGATACAGGATTTTTTTCGCAAATAGTGCCTTAAAAACGTCTACCTCTGTTCAATAAGTTTATATGATATTTTAACTATATTGATGACTAATTATTAGCTCAATTGTAAATGTCGAGTCGTTGCAAAACATTGTTCCCGCTCTAGACACAAAATCCGTCTACTTCAATATTAGCGATCAGAACCTTGCTGGTAATTAATTATTAGTAAATAATTGGAACGAACTAGTTAAAAGGCCTCATTATATTTTAAATTATAATTATAACATGAAAGAAATAACTTTTAATTTCTATAAAATTATAGCTGAATATCACAAAAAGGTTTATTACATTCAATGGTCGTGAGATAAAATAAAAATACCATGTCCCTCATACAAATAAGTCCACAACCGACTTGTTAACACAAATATAATAAAAAAATTTGACTAAATACATTGTGATTTAGTGTAAATCTTAACTCTGGATTTGGATGAGCAGCATCGGGCAGAGCTACACGAAGCTTTGTTTCAAAAAAGATCCCAAGGTCTCGGCAGCGCTTATAACGGCGGCGCCTGACCCGAGCGTCGACATTCGTGGTCTGACGAGCAGGCTGTTGCAGTGCTCCAACGAAGCGCGAGTTGCTCATCACCGACAGGAAAAATAGGAAACTTCCCAAGCAATTTTATTATTGAAAAATTCAGTCGAGTGAAAGCCGGATCCTGTAACCATGTGGAACATTGTGAGTTATTTCCATACAATTATCTAACTCAGAGGAAACAGTTCGTAGCATGCTGGGATCGAATGCTAAATGCGGCCTTATATACTGAATCGTTATCATGTTTTCTAATAGATGATGATAGTATTCAAATTGGATCGTCTAAATAAACGAAATTGTTTAAAGAATGTAACGAACAACTGAGAGTAATTTAAATTATAAGTCAAGGAATGCACCACAAAAATATTCGAATAGAAAAGAAACCAAGAATTGTATAGTTTGAAACTGATCCAGCATAAATATTATTCATTTGAGTTACCTGAAACACTGGAGAAGTTCATGCCCACAATTCGTGAAAATGAAAGTGGTGGAGCAGCTTAATATTTCTGCCCTCAGACGACCTTAGCCGATGAAAACTGAAAGTGGCGGCTGAAAATGGAACGTTATCGCAGAAGTTGCGGTCGATGAATAGTGCGGTACCGCATAAGTGGCGGTCGATGAACAGGGCGGTACCGCATAAGTGGCGGTCGATGAACAGGGCGTTTTCACAATAATATTGCGTTATCGTTTTAATTGCTGCAGTTTGAGACGCCAGAATACTAGAATTCAAATCTGCGAAGATCGAGTTTTTAAGTATACGTGCAGATTAACAGAACTCGTGAATACCGGCTTGTTAAATACCACTGGCAAATCGGAAGGAGATATTCAAAAAAACAAAATAAAAATTTATAAAATATATAGAAACTTAATCTTATGAAAAATAAAAAGAACTAAATGAAATATTTTTAGATCACCGTCTCCTACTGTTAGTGCGTAAACTTTTACTTTCTCAACTACGGTATGAGTCTCAGTAAATTTCATTATAATCTTGGAAATTCCATGATTTGATGGAACATGTTCTGCATGAAATATGATTACAAAATTTTGGCTAAAATTGACAGAAATGGTTTTTATAGGCAACATCGATGCCTAAAAGTCGCATTCTCATGTTTCATCAATGAAATGGCGAAAAATATAAAACTTCATCCTTGTAAAGAAGAACTTGAAATTCGTATCCGATCTTTTCAAGTATAATGACGGTACGTTTTTCCTGCACCGCGGAAGGCCTTGACTGCAGCCTTGATGTGAAGAACATCGCACGCCGCCACCGGCAATCGACTTCGCCGTAATCATTACGTCTTCAATTGCATCCCTGAAATTCATTACCATTCAGCGGTAAAATCAAATCACGTAATTCTTCACTTTGAAAATTCATGGGCGTGAATTTTCAGGTTTTCAATTCTTTATGAGGTCGCAACAAATTTTATTCAAGAAAACACTATTATTAATTTCCTCAAATACCAGTTACAAATTGGTTATAAATTGATCTATAACATCCGCGTTTGTTTTTATTCTGCATCAAAGCAGGTCTTATGTCAAGTGAAAATCTATTCAAATCTTACAATTAATTATCATGCGGTGTTTCGAGGTAATCCTGTCACGTTTTTGTCTGAAAAAATGTGTACAGTAAAGAAAAGTGCATGAGGCTCAATGAAACGCATTACGCACGTTGACATTATAAACTTTTTAAAATCTTTCATCTCAAAATAAAAAAGGGAAACAATTAATGAATCTTTCCAATCGGATTGATAGGCCATATGCTTCAGTGGACAATGTTTTCTGCCTTTCGGGCCAGTTCGATTTGCACCTAAAATTGGTGGCATTGATGTTCGGAGTAATAACTTTTCATGCGGGATTGCTTGTACGTTGAAAGTTATTCACATGACAAAGGTCTCTCAAGTCCTGCGAAAATTTAAGATTCAACTTGTCTTGCACATTTCCCATCTTAGGTTGAATAAAATAAGAATAATTGTGAATTATAAAATCGATAATTTCGCAAAGCTTTGGATATGAATTATTGTAACGTAAAGCATCAAAATATATCATCTATGATTTTCATAATGTAATATTACTGGTTCCATGCAGAGCGAGTTTAAAGTTTAATCTTAACGTATGTCGTGCGCAGTATTCCTTGTATAGCAACGTCTAATACTTATACTAATTTATTGCAAATTGTGCTTTGTCTCGCACGCTCCTCGTCCTCCTTGGAAACTGGAGTCGAATTCGTGTGGAAGTTGTCTAAGTGACTGTACATAGTAGAACAGCTCCAGCTGGTGCTTACGAACGTCTGTACTGACTGTATAGAACAGCTACAGCTGGTGATTACGAACGTCTCTACTGACTGTAGAACAGCTCCAGCTGGTGATTACGAACGTCTTTACTAACTGTAGAACAGCTCCAGCTGGTGATTAAGAACGTCTTTACTGACTGTAGAACAGCTCCAGCTGGTGATTACGAACGTCTTTACTGACTGTAGAACAGCTCCAGCTGGTGATTACGAACGTCTTTACTGACTGTAGAACAGCTCCAGCTGGTGATTACGAACGTCTTTACTGACTGTAGAACAGTTACAGCTGGTGATAATGAACGTCTTTACTGACTGTAGAACAGCTCCAGCTGGTGATTACGAACGTCCTTCTTATCAATATCAATGATAAATTGTGATGAGATGTATGGCGGCCATAATTATATATGCGATGTAATGTGCTTCCTCCAGCTTCATGATGATAGAATGGGAAGTGAATGCGGGGTTTTTATGCCCTAAATAAATGACAGAAAAATTAAAGTGAATTAAAATATAATTCAGGTTTTGGGGACAATGGCATGATAAAACGCTGAAATACATGAATTTTTACTTGGTGAAAATTTAAGAGTGTCTGCGTGCTGTGTGAAATTTCATAATTCGTAAATTTGAATATTGTAAGTTTTGCTTCGATGATTTGGAATTCAAGGCTTCCGCGTTGACCGAAAGTCAGGCATCACTACTTTAGTCAAAAAACTTGAACTCAGCAATTTTAAAGAAAAATTTCTCACTAGATTTAACAAGAGAATTTGATCCAATACAATGTCTTCCCTGGGACATAATTTCCTTACTGGATTCAGTGAACGTCTTTCAGGACTTACATGGTAGGATACCTGCCATTTTCGGTTTCCGATATTTCTATTTGCGGATTCAGCTGATCAATTAATATGAATTTGATGGTTTGGAAAATTCGAAAGCGCATAAACTCTTACTGGTAAGAGGACCATAGGTTGGCTTCCTTAATTAACGTTGCAGGCTATAACTGGCAATAAGAAGTTTGTTCGTGAGATACGACATCTGAGAGAAACAACAGTTGGTTAATATCAATTAAGGAGATTGCGATACATCAACACAATTTGATTCTTAATTTAATATTTTTAAATCATCAGTACCCTGAATGAAACATAACAGACAACTTCAGAACGAAGGTTCATGTGTCACTTCTATATGACTCTTACATTGCCTCATTACTATTGCGTTAAAATTAATCTCTCCGAATTCTTTCGAAAGAGTTCAGTTTGCTTAAACAGAAATCATGGCCATATTCATGGTAAGCCTTTAATATATTGATTGATAATAATAGGTAATTCCCCAGAGCGCTGCAGAGCGCCAGTTCTCGCGTCATCTGCAACGGTGCAAAAGATAGCCAAATTTGAAATCTTAGAGTACCTGAACTCTGAGGATCTTATTGACTGCATGAGAGATTCATGGGCTAAAGTTTTATTTTTAATTGTTTCACCAACCGTTGCAGTAATGGCAGGATACTTCGAATATACGAGTTAATACACCATTATTAACGTGGCTTAAATGTGACGTACTCAAGCCTTAGTTCTTAATGCAGTAGACAAAGCGGGCGATGCCTGTTGCTAATTTTACGGTAAAATTTGTACGTAATATTCAAGAGAACGAAAACTGCAAAATGACTTTCCGATATTAACATTACCTAGCTTCGGAGCGTATAAATGAGCCGAGGAAGTTTTTCTCTAACAGGTTTATTTAGAGCTTATGCTTTTTTATGATAAATGCAAGTATTCAAAGGATATATATCTCTTTTTATGAATATAAGCCACAATCCTTGGACATATAAGGTATTTTTAGCGCATTTTCTCATTTGTGGAAAAGGCGCTATTGCATGTGCTCGTCATGTTCGTTCGTCTGTCTGTCTGTCTGCCCGTCCGTGAATTCACGTTTTCGTCGACGAAAAAATGCGCTCTCTGTCACTAAATGCAATGAGTGCTGAGTTATATTTTTTAATGTTTTTTTCAGGTTGTCTTGACGCTGTGGGCAAGTGCCAGCTGCCTCGCGTTCCCGCCTCGTATGATCTACAACTACAAATCAGACCATCTGAACCACGAGCAGACTGGCGTGGCTGGCAAATCAGTGAGCGGCGGGTACGGTTGGACTGCCCCCAATGGCCAAAAGTTCAGTGTTAACTACATTGCTGACAACAAAGGCTATAGGATTGTCAGTTCCCATAATGTCTTTCCTGGAGGCAAGCCGTTGAATCCCGTAGAAACCTTCCCTCCTGCTCCCAAAAGCTTTCCTTCCGCTCCAAAAAGTTCCGATTTCTCCGCACCTGCACCAAGCTTGCATCTTAAATCAGAGTCCAATCCTTTTACCTCCCCAAATAAGCCTTCAGTTACTTCTTCATCATCTTTCTTCAGCCCTCAAACTAAGAATTCCTTAGCCCGCGCTCACTTCGGACTGGCGGAGCCAAAAATAAACGAATCTCCGACCACGACCACGACTACCACAACTCGCCGCCCTGTCACCGTCATTTTCTTCAACACAACACCCAAGGCAGCGAAGCCATCGTCGTCTGTGGTGCCTGTGCCCAGCAAAGTCGTAATCCCTCAGGTGAACCGAAAGACTTTCGGTGGCCAGCCATCGGCGCCTGAAGTGGCAGCCAACGAGGCCAAAGAACCCGCTGCCGAAGAGACTGAGGGGGCTGACACTACTGGACCAAAGAATGCTAAATCAGTTGCTGCATCTGAAGGTGGCAATGTAGCGGGTGCTGATGGGGCTGAGGCGGAGGGAGCTAGTGCAGGAAGTAAAACCAAAGATGCTGGAAGTACTGATGCTGCTGGTGAAAAGGCTGGAGGTGCTGAAGCCGAAGCAGGAGCCGCAGAAGAAGGAGCCGAAGGAGGTGGTGAAGGAGAAGAAGGAGCTGAAGCAGGGGCTGAAGACGAGGGAGCTGAAGCTGAAGGAGAAGAAGCAGAAGCGGAAACTGGTGTAGAGGCGGAGGAAGAAGAGGAGAGCGGTTCAGACAGCGCTGGTGAGGATTGGTGAATACGATGCTTTTGCTGTACATAGTGTACAATGCCCTTTTTGAATCAATATGAAATTAATTCAATTAAAAAGAATTGGCCCTAAGCGATTGATTCATAAAAAAGTTTACATATTCTAGGAGTACTGTAAATCTCAGCTACTGTTTTTCACTTTTTTAAACCACAAAACTCATCATGATAATTTACACTGTAACTTTAGATCTGAAAAAAGCGCCCTCGGAGAAAACCATCAAGTTCGCATGTAAACAGAAACTTATTTGTAATTTAATAAAGTGTTACAGGTCGAGTGTAAAATTTTATATCCCATAATTCGTATCCATATGAAATTTTCTTTAATCACATGACAATATATGAACATAATCCCAAATTGGAAAATATATATAACAGTTTATCTCGCCGTTGCTGGGGAAGTTGTATTTTCATATGCAAAAAACCGAATAACGGGAAAAAATTCCATGAGTTGACAATAAAAAGAAGATTCGTTTAATTCATCGTGAGAAATAAAATTAGAAAAAAATGACTACTGAGGTACGTTCTGAATTCAACTGATAAGTACACAGTGGAAATAGTGCTGCTCCGGACATCCACCACGTATACACTTCATTTTATATTGGTTGAGGTTAGAAGGACTAAAATTTTGAATGGTTGTCAAAGTGAATGATCAGGTTAACAGAAAATTCCTCAATGGCGCTGCCCTGCTTTCCTCGATGCTGGAAAGTAAAAATAATAGTGTTGACTGATTTTTGGTATGATAATGCCTACCAGAAACGGCCTAGTTGATAATATGAGTAGAATAATTACTAATGTAGGAATTGTGAGAAAATTAACCAACTTAAGATTTGGACGCTCCTTAGTTACCAGAAACGGCCTAGTTGATAATATGAGTAGAATAATTACTAATGTAGGAATTGTGAGAAAATTAATCAACTTAAGATTTGGACGCTCCTTAGTACTCAGCTCATTGGTAAATGACATTTTGATGTCTCACTTTTTCCTGTACTTAAAATGCAGGAAAATTTAGTAAATGGAAGGTTCTCTTGATGAAAAATAAATAAATTATAGTTGAAGTCTTGACATTGAAAAGTAAAGACGAATGTAATGAACATCGGTAACAGATGAGGAAAACTTGGGTAACATCTGTTAAATGATGACTCAGGACATGTCCTGTTAACTCCTCACTTAAATTATTCATTCTGTGCATAAAGATTAAGTTATGGCTATCATTTGTCTATTGTAAGCCTTATTTGGAGCGGTCACGGCCGTGCCAGAAACACGTAAGTCATGAAAGAAGAAGTAGAACTTACGCAGAGTTCTTGCCTGTCCGCCCTGGGCCCAATGCTCGACCAGACCCACGGGCAAATACCTGGGACTGTTGTGCCCCTGCAGCCTGTTGCAATGAGCGCCCCCACAACAGCCTTGGCTCCTCAGCAACAAACTGACGTTGACACAAACGGCTCGAGTTCCGCTGAGAAGTCCGCGAAGAGAGGCGGCGTGAAACAGTGTGGTGTGAAACAGATGAGGAAAAGTTTCACATACCACACTCTAATTTAATTTGGAATCTGAGTGTTTGGTATATTGATGATAAAATAGAATCAATCAAATTTGCTCATGAACAACAAAACTTTTTAATTGTGGAAAGAATTTAACAAATTCTGTTGTTTTCTCTCTTAATCGAGTAAAATCGACAAACTCACAATAAAGAAAAATTAAGTCAGATTTGGTCAACACCTCAGGCGTTTCAACAAGCATACAAAATTGCATCAAAATACATTACAACAAAGCACGTCAGTGACATTAAAGACATCTCTGAAAATATTATTTGAAATTTTCATCGAATTATAGGTTAATTGTATTAAACGTGTTTCTTTTTGCTTATTGACACAAATTTTTGGAATATTGCCTGCAATATGAAGTGTCTTACTGCATAACGTTTCTTACGGGAACGGAAGATCCGTCTCTGGGATAGTTTATAGGCCCTCATTACGCGATAAGACTCCTAGAAGCTGTTTACCCCTCTACCAGCTGACATGAGTAACCGGAGCAATATTGTCACAAGCTTACTTGCTACTTCCCATAAAGGAGACGGTGCTAGTGAGACGACTTGCACTGATAGTTGCCGCCATGTACGACAACTTTATAATGTTCTCTGTTGCGTACAAACTTTCTCAGGTTGCTACACTAAATAGTTTACGTGTAATTTAAGTTGAAAATAATGTTCCCTAAGAGTGACATACGGCGGTAGATGGTTAAGAGTTTTTTAGGCCTCATTAAAATGTTCTGAATTGCCTTGAGCGTTCAGTTCTTGATTGATAAAATATCATACAACTTATCAATGCAAGGATGAAAATGATCATGTATTTTTCTTTGCAAAATGTTACGGCGATCGTAAGTTTCATGGTTCAAGAATGATCGCTAAGTAGTAGGAACACAGGTTTTTTTTAGGATGATCGCCAGTGTTTTGGATGATTGTAAATCAACCGTAGATTTTCTAGTAAATGATCGTAACTTGGGTCACCTTTCGGGTTCTTCAATTGACAGGGTTCGTTTGAAAAACTAATTGGTGTTTGCAGACAGCGAACGGCAATAAAAGCCGCTGGATTTCATGTCTTAATATTCAGCTTTCGGACTCGTTTATTTACGAGGCTGGGGTTGAAACTCTCATGAATGCATGATTAGAATAAATGTCTTGCCAGAGAAATTGCATGATGCGTCGAAGTTACGATCTTTAATTAAACAGTTGTTAGCCGTGTTCTATCCGTGGTGGAGTTCTTCGCCAGTTAGCCAAATCATCGCTGGCTGCCTACAATTTCCGTATGATTATAAACTGAAAATGTCGTGGTTATTCATGCGATTAGTTCCAAGAAAGATGCACAAATTAAAAAGGGTTTTTATTTCTTACAAATTCTTGAAACTTGGGACATTCTGTGCTCTAATCAAACACGGTGAAGACTCGAGCTTTTGAAAGAAAAGTAGGTAGCGCTTGAATGTATTTTGTACACTGATTCAAAGTACACATATATGATAGGTGGTTCGATAGATTAACTATGAGTTTAATAGAAAAAAAGCCATAAACAAGCAACTACAGCGAGGTGCTATATTCCCCAAAAAACAATCCAGGCATGGAGCCAGCGATTCGCAACCGGTTGCGCTACGCCTGCGTCACGTCGCTCTCTCGTGTAATTGATATTAATATTTTGGCACCGCAACCACGACTGCCTTCGAAATTTGGTCCATTTTCTCGTAAGTGAGGTTTTAAACTCTTTCATGTATTTTTAATTTGTATTTACAGGAAATAAAAATTCTACTAACGGCTTATTGTCTTATTGGAGTAAATTATTTTAAAATTGGTATTATTTTCCTATGGCGCTGATGTATTTACGTAGCGTAAAGGTTTTTGGGCGCCGAGGTCCTCATTTGGCGCCAAGTTTTATTTCTTCTCCATCAGATTCTCGTACAAGGAGCTCACCACACGCAGCGTCCCTTAAAAAATCCTCCAGGTAGTAAGTACCCAGAGTTTCTTTATTGACACCAAACCTTAAGGCCATGATGCAAGCACCACCCTCGGCGACGACCAAAGTCGACCATCAGCATGGTTGAACAATATTAGTTCAACCATGGTCCACCAGCGACACAGAGCAATGAACTGAGCTCGATACCACAGATAGCTCCTCTTATCTCGTTGCCACCATTACTGTATTACCGTTTCGCTGATCACAGGCTTCGTGCTTCAGGCATGCTTCGGAAATCAATTCACTGACCCAACGAATGTATCGTATGGGCCAGTGAACTGACTTCCCACGCCTCCCATTCCTTTGTCCTGAGAAGAGCCGTTGATCTTGTCGTCAGTCCGCGTGCCGTAATATCAAAACTCGTTGCAGCACACTTAGAGGCCTGAGAACACGTAGTGGCCCAAGTATACTTAGCGTCCGATTTCTCGTCAGCGATTGACTGGTGTCGCTCGAGAAGGCGTCAGCGATTGGCTGACGGAGTTAAAAATTATTTTCGATAGAATGGCCCATGGTGCTCTTAGTTAGGAAAGCATCATATCTGCTTAGAGAAGTCAGTTCATCTGCCATCTCAACCCTCGCGCCCAATCGTTTCCCCAGTGACTGGAGATTGGAGCAACGAAGAGTAGGTTCAATCCCAGCGACCTGCTACTGTTACAATCGGCGAGGTATCCGGGCGGTAAAGCATTGCAAAATTGGAGCGGTGAGTTGCATGTTCGAGGCGCACAACAAGCTGTGAATATTCTGCGATGTTCAGAATCAGTGACAGGTCTAATGATCTAATAAAAGCTGACATCACATTTCACATTCTCTTCCTGGTTTCTCTGCACTACCTTTTATTTTTTTCCACATTCTCTCAGTAGCACCTCAACAACAACTCGTGCCCATTTTGTCGTACTCACTGAAGCCCCAAGTCGTCGTACTCATTGAAGCCCCAAGTTGTCGTACTCATTGAAGCCCCAAGTTGTCGTACTCATTGAAGCCCCAAGTTGTACTCACTGAAGCCGCAAGTTGTCATACTAACTGAAGCTTAAAGCGTTGCGCGGCAGTATCGTGTCTCAAGATTCTCCGGTGTCGTATCCCGGTATCAGAGGACGATTGTGACCAAAGCACGGCAGATGCTTCACCTCGTCTTCTTCATCCTCGTGAGGAAGACGAGGTGTAGCAGCGCCGTGGTTTGTCGTGACGAAATTCTCCTTTTTCGTTGACGTTGAAATTATCAGGAAAGGCACAATATCTTGGTACTTACCTATCCCAAGTACGTACTGAATTCCACACGAGATAGCACTCCTGCAATATTGGCCAAGACTTCGCAGATTGGTTATTTCTCCGTTGAAAAGTTCTTGATTTTCTTGCTAAAATAATTCTCTCGCTGTCACACCACCAACTTCGTCTCGCCGTCATCTTGGGTCTGAGCCCTGTACCGATATCAGTTATCTGAAGATAAGATAATAGTGATGTGAATACATGCTCATGAGTGGAACTAAGTACGCAAGTATTCGAGTGTAGTTCAGCATACAATATCGACGATTCTTAACATCGCAGAACGTTCACAGCATTTTGCGGTCTCGAACTCGCAACGCACTGCTACAATTCTGCAGTGCTTAACCGCCCGGCCTCCTTGCCGATTTTGAACAGAAACTGGCGCACAGAGCTGGGATCGAACCCGCGCCTCGCTGCTCCACTCATGGTACTCTGAACTGTAACCACCCTGCCACTCTAATATGTAAATTCAAGTTTCCAGTTACAGGGTCCACACAAATCTATCTTCATTTGAATGCTTTATAAAACCTCGTTTTATTAATAATTCTTAACAAAGACGAATTTAAAACACTTATGGATTCGGCAAATGCCTCATTTACACGAAAAATAACAGTTTTTCAAAAATAACAGTATTATAATTTGTTGAATAATATTTATTGAAAAATTGCGTGGATTAGAAACTTGATTAACTCAACTTTACTTACGTACAACTGTACTCCACGACTACTGCCCCGAGACTAAGAAATTTACGTCAATGATAATGCTTTATAATAAGGCAAGAACGTTCTGCCATCGGGATGAGGGGAGGGGGATATGCGTGCGTGTGTGCACCAGACGTACATAAACTCAAATTCAAACTACAGTATTCGTTATTTTAGCTCGTTACAATTTTTTTTCGATTTTACCTTCGTTTGCGAGTTATACGACTATAGGTATAAGGCTCCTGGTTAAACCGGCTCACCGCCCTCTTCCAAAGTCTCAAAAACTCAAATGTGTGTACCCACCCAGAGACAGCACGGTCACAGCCCACGCACACAAAGTTCTTGACTCGGCCGTCTCAATGGCGATCTTCGTGTAAGTTTGGTCAAATACATTCTATGTTATCAAGAAGATAACCGCCATAAGGCTTACGGCGTTCGTGCGTTTGTGTGCGAACATAGGATGTCAGAGAACGTTCCCTGGTGGCAGAAAACGTATTGCTCCGCCAGCCAAGACAGCGAGTGCAATGGCTAATTAATAGTTCAGGAAGGAATAAAGTAGAGGTAGAAGTAAGAGTAGCAGAGTTTGAGCGAGGGTAGGAATAACACCGTAGGTAATAGCAGCGTAGGGTAAGGTAGATTTGTGGTGATGGAACAGTTGTGGTGATGGAACAGTTGTGGTGATGGAATTGGTGATGGAACAGTTGTGGTGATGAAACAGTTGTGGTGATGGAACAGTTGTGGTGATGGAACAGTTGTGGTGATGGAACAGTTGTGGTGATGGAGCAGTTGTGGCGATGGAACAGTTGTGGTGACGGAACAGTTGTGGTGATGGAACAGTTCTGGTGACGGAACAGTACTGGTGATGGAACAGTTCTGGTGATGTAACAGTACTGGTGATGGAACAGTTCTGGTGATTGAATAGTTCTGGTGATTGAATAGTTGTGGTGATGGAACAGTTCTGGTGATGGAACAGTACTGGTGATGGAACAGTTCTGGTGATGGAACAGTACTGGTTATGGAACAGTTCTGGTGATGGAACAATTGTGGTGATTCTTCGTCGCTAGATCATCGGGGGGATCTTTCTACGTCATTCTACTGATAGCTATAGTGCGGAGAATCTGTCTACGCCATTCTACAGGTGGCTAAATTAGAGGGAATCTTTCACGTCATTCTACTGATGGCTATATCAACCTATTTTCTCCCACCCTGAGCAAGAAGCAAATGGAATTCCTAAACCGTGGACGAACAGTCGTCTGTTATCCATGCAAGTTCAAAAGGCCTAAGAAAAAAACCTAACTCGAATTTTCGACAGTTTTCGGAAAGTATAGGATGTTTTGTGTCGGCAATATGAACAAAGTTTAATGGTTTGCGTATAGTAGTTGTATGGCACATGAGAGATCATATGGAAAATTGTTCATATTTTAGCATTTTGATTGGCTCATTTTCATCGAACACACATTCTTCTAAATTTGCTGCTGCATTTGTTTTCGGAACCGATGCCTATAAACATAAATATTGTTGAGACTGCGGGATATAACAAATGAGTTTATTTTTTATATATGAACGGACCGCAGTAAAGTGACTATACTTCTTTTGCTTTAGTCCCCAAAAATGACTGATTTTTCAATGGAAAAAATTCATGGAGTAATCGCACTACAACATTCGCCGATGAAATTCGTCTTATTCGAAAATTGTCGGATTTGGAGTATCTACGCTACGCGATCATCAGTTCTTAAGCAGTGCAATAGAAGAATACGAAAATAGAAGAAACATTTGGTGAAATAAATTAAGTTAATTGAAGATGTTTCTAAACATACCAGTTGGTATACAAGTTTTCCTGTACATTTTGATTGCACTAGCAGGCGTCAAATGTCTAATAAATGTCGTGGGTTCGGTCTTACTAATATGCAACAACTTGAGGCACCGCAAGAGTAAGAAAACTATTGCGAAATGTGATGATGTCATGTAAATTAGTGGCACCTATTTGACTCCATAGGAAAATCATCAGGAAGAATACTTGGAATTGATGTTACTGCGACCGCCGCCTACACCAAATGGAAATGATTAATCAGACGGATTTTTGATTCACGACTCCGGGTACGGAGACGGACAGCTGAGAAAATTCATGTTCTAAAGTGATGGTTGCAACATCGACTAGGACTCTCTCGATTTATAAGACACTTCTTCGTCATACATGGAAATTAGGCCTGAAATTTCCGAGTAAAGTGACGCAGAATCTTAGCGCCGTCTACATCTCCACAGCAACGCAAGTGATGAAAGTCTCATGCCTGATGGAACTTCAGAGCTTTTACCAGCAAACCAAAACGACTCAACCGATCAGTATAGAATTTCATTCTCTTCTCTTTAGAACTTTTCAGCGGACATACCACCAGCTCTACTAAACGGATAATCCTCGGATGCGTGCAGAGGTGATGAACCAAGACCAGACTTTTCTTTCGTCACAGTCATTCAGCAGCTTGAACAGAATAAGATTTTCCAGGAGAGAAAAATGCTTGCCGACGAGTGTCAAGTGCCAAAAGATTCAGGAGCTGGAGTTAGAACGATCGGGAGCTTTGAAAGTGAAGAACACTGAAATAATGATGTTGGTGGATATGGTTGGTGGTGATATCATGAGTACTGGGGAGAAATTCGAATCATAGTGTAGTGACATGTTTGACATAAGTAAGAAAAAAAGCGAGAAGGGTTAAACAAAAAAAGGTAACCTGGGAAATTTAGTGAGGAAACTGAGCACAGTAAAATTTTTGCCTCATATTAGAAAGGGAGATCGATGATGAAATTTTCTGAATCCTCCAATTTTGGGTCATTATGTGAATTTTCAATATGAATTAATGATACGATCAATACTTCAACATGGAAAAATTAATGTATGTTGCTTTACGTATATTCATTTCTATCGCGAATAAGAACGATTTCTTAGAAGTACAGCCGGCAAGGCATTTTATTGTGGTTTGACTTATAACTAGCAAATTAAGGGAATTAGAATAATGTTTAATGATTATCCTTCAATTATCTGAGTAACTATTTAAAAATAAGTTTATTGAAAAAGTTTCTTAAGTGCAATCAAAATTTTATTCGTTACCTTAAGTGGGTCAGGCGAGTGGGTCAGGGCTTGTGTAAACTGAGTATGGTTCCTTGTCACTCACTACACTCAGAGAAATGAGGCAGGAAAAAATGACTGAATTAAGCTTACCCAAAATACAATACAGTGAAATTTAACAAGTTTTTCTGACTACCGCTAAGTAAATCAATTCTATTTATCATTTTTTCTTAGAATCAGTTTATTTTGACCCATAAAGTCAGTCCTGGCGCAAAAGTATATCAGGAAGTCTATTCCTAAGCGTTCCAAGCAAATCAAGAAATGAATTTCTTGTTTTAATTGTTAGGCATAATAGACAATATTAGACAAGCCTTTACTGCCGAGCGATAAATAGAGATAAATGTACACAGATCTATCTGCAATAAATTAAACATGAACGATATTTACTGGCAAAACTGGATCATAATGAAATCCAGTCTGTTATGCACATATGTATAATAAGAGTAAATAGAATAACCATATAGAATAATAAATTAATTTTCTTTGAAATTTAAATCAATTGTGATTTGGTAACGTAAGAAACTAAGTAGAAATTAATTTTTTTATCATATCTGGAGAAGTACAGATATCTTAAAGAGACTGTATAGTATAATTAATTAAAACCCTTAATTGTTGCGAGTGATGGAGAGAGATAACGTGACCTGCGTGGACAGCTTGTGTTGTACTGCAAATTATAAAAACAACTGCAAGTCGGAAATTCACTGCGTATAAAAATTCTCGATCAATTTTGTGTAACGAACTGATTACTTGATTCTTGATTGTAGATTCAAGTTTTTGAGGTGATTGTAATGTTAACATAACATAAAATAACATAGTGATCTCGGCACTGTAGTGTAGGCCTGATGTGGCCTGTCGACGATTCTGGTACTTTTCGTGCCTTGTTCACAGAAGATCTAAAATCGTGTCATTTGACCGGATCTTTCCATGACTGACAATAGTTTGAAGTAGCTACTAGACTTCCACCGGGTTGCAACAAACAACTGCTTCATCGCTTCTGCATCTAGAAACTCGTATGAGCATCTGATTAGTCCAAGAAGTTTGATGAATTTGTACGAATATTGTACGAACTGTTTGAAATGTCATTAATGTTGTTATGAAACAGAAATAACAATAATAAAAGTGTTCGGATTTAGCTTGCAATTTGTGATCTAGGGAATAAATTCTGATCAGACAGGCGTATTGCAGGAAATTAGACTTGCTTGTTAATATTCCACAGCCAAAGGACACCGGTCTCGGAGGCTAAGACCTCCGAGAAACAAGGCGATAACTACCTGATAGTCAGTTATTGCCTTGTTTTAATAGTTTTAATGGACGTCGATTAAATGTTATAAGAAACATAAAAAAATGCTTACTCCGTCTAGTCATGTCAAACAATATAATTTAATAAAAGTGAATCAAATGAGAACACACATGAAAATATAGGTATATTTAATAACAGACGCTTGTTCCCAGTTAATAGTTTCAGGAGGGGAAAAATCGTATGGAAACAAATTTCTAAAAATTATATAAGTATCATTATTAAACATGTTTCTTATTATCGAATTTCCCAAGTAGAAAAGAAATTAAAAACAGGACCGAAAATGTTTTCCGCTGGAGTCGACACGAATAGGTGAAGTTTTACTTCAGTTTACCCTCATACTGAAAGTTAAGTTCTGAAGTCTACGGAGAATAAATATCTCATTCGGAATGATGTACTGAATCGACTGAAAATGCCCAATGACATATTTGGTACGTAAATTGGTACCAAAATAGACAAAATCCTGAAAGTAAATGGATTTATTCTATTTTGAACGGTATAGGCTAATATTATACCTTTTTATGTGTGGTTATGATTGACCCAAATATTTGAATTAAAGATTTCTGATAATTGTTGTCACGGGAGCATTTTCTTTTTGGCTTCCTCCTATCACTAGTATCAGCAATGAAGCGAAGTATTTTCAGCGTTTTGAAAGTTCAGCATCCTCATTTGGAGTAAAGATCATAATGGATTTGGGTGCTCAATGTTGATGCCTACATTTAGAGCGAAATGGTTAGGGATTGTTTTGTTGGCGTCTCTGAGGCGCTTGATGACCGCCGTCTTCTGACTCAGCCTGAGCTTGTCCAGGTACAGAAGTTCCCGCCGCGCCGCGTCTTCACATAGCGGGTGTCCTGACTGGCTTTGGTAGCCTATAACCTTGAAGAAACAAAACAAAATGTAACATAACATTTGAATGAACAATTTCCTGTTAGTTAATATTGTCGATATGAATTGTCAACACAAACGTTTATCTACGGAGTAGCTAGTTATCGTAGAAGTGCTGGGTTCAACGACAATGGAATACCGAACTGTAAATGTTCTATTAAAATTTCGCCGCATGCGTAGAATCAACGACCCCTAAAACTTCAATCCATCATTACCAAATTTAATGAACGGAAACTGTATTCAATTTCAATTTTACTCACTTAGTGATCCTGAAAAGTTTAAATTATTTCAAAATCAACGAATAATTATCTTAATAAATGACCAAAAGGCCAGTCCCCTGTTAGGAAATTACTTCTTCATGACTTCCGCCAACTCGAATTGACAACTAAGCAAGACATAAGTGACTATAGTAAGCCAACGCTAACTGCTTTTTCCTAATACATGCCAAGGAAATATCTCAATGTTTATTTTCCAAAATGACTTACTTTTTGCCGAATTTCATGGGGAACCTGCTTGAAGTCACACAACTCTTGCTTCCTAAGGGACATGGAGTTGTACTCGGCGATGTCCTGCACCATCTGCTCCTCGCCGTACAGGCCGACCAAGTCGTCCAACTTGTGGAGGAAGTGGGAATAAAGTTTGTAGTCCGCGGCGAGCCTTTGCCGTAAAAGCTTCTCGGTGGGCGAATCAAAGACGACTTCTTTGTTGGTCTGCGATGAAATGTAAGTTGTGTAGGTAATTGATGTTCCAACAATTTACATCAGGTGAGCATAATCACCTAATGCGAAATAGTTAATAAGGTGATATTATCATCTGATTGTGCCTAAAATACAAATTTGTAAAACATAAGTTGCTAAGCACAAGAACAAGCAATAACATTTTTCAATGTAAGCACCAAATAAATTCCGTTGGTTTCATCAGCGACTCTGGCATGCGCTCTGTCACCATCACCAAATCAAAGAGTTTATCTGCCTCGTCCACCTGAAATGTTTTATTATTAGTAATGTCGCATGTCTACATGCAAAATCGATATCTTCTCATGTCACTCTATCATTTTATACACTAGAACTTTCTGAGATCTTAGAACTGTTTATGAAATAGCCATCTTCTAGTGATAAGAATTTAAAATCTGAGTTGAATTATTTCAACAAATTTTGCATCTCACCAGCTCCTGCACGGCCGTCATGTTCTCGAACTGGCCCGCAGGAAGGCCCAAGTCCCAGGTCATCTGATTGTAGCCGATGTAGCCTGACATGCGTGCGTCGTTGGCATGGACGGTCTTGACGTACGTTGTCAGGTTCATTTTATAGAACGCCTGCGTGGCGGAGACGAGAATGCAATGAAAAATAAGCTATGAATTTAATGCATCCTGCTTACTGATTTCAATGTTTCATTTCAACAGTTGCACATTTTTTGCGTAATTTGAGCTTAAATTCTTCGGTTGCTGACAAGTTTCCAAAAAAAAAAATTAATTTTCGTATTGGTGCGAGTTACGATTATTTCCGAGCTTCGAAACAATGAATTTTCCAATGTTTTAAAGAAGAATATAATTTTCGTCTTTTAAGGGCTCGTGTTTTAATTATTATGAGTAACTCGAGAAATACACGGAATAACTCACTTCCATGTTTGTGTAGTCGAAGAGGGAGACAAATTGCTTCAAAGGCTCCCTAACAATCGTAATGAATATTGTATCGTTCGGCATTATTCGCTTCATCTGTGGTGCAAAAGAAGGCTGATTATTCTTCAGGAAATGAGTGGCATTTTACGCTGATATTAATAGGATAGCATCAATTTTAATTTCTATGACTTAATTACAATCAAATTAAATCCTTTAAATCATCATTAAATTTTTAATTATGGAACAAACTTTTCGCACTGTGAGGAAATCATTGATATTTTGCCAGCGGAATCAAAATCTCTTTTTAACATATCGTTGGAAAAATTCCCCTATTTTCATCTCAAATGTTGAAAGAAAATACAAAATCTTTCAGCATTGCGTAGGACTATGCCGTATATGATAAATTTTGGGTTGTATAATTTTTTGCACACACCAAAACTGGTATATTAAGTTAACATGTGTAATTATTAATTTGTAATTGTGTGGTGGATGATGTGGCTAAAACATAGAACACAGCTCCTCGGGCTCTTAGCCATTCGCACATCTCAATGTGCTCATAGCTGGGAGATCCATCCGTATTTGAGTAGCTATGAACTAAATATCAAATTAATTGTTGAATAACCAACATGAATTCAACTGTATGGAATAACAATCCGAAATATTTTTTCGAATTCTTTTAGAAAATTGCGTTTTTACTGATACTCTGTAAGTTGAAGGCAATGTTTTGTGAACCAAAATTAAGTCCGCAATCGCAGTATGAAACAAATTCCCGTATGTGTCACGTACTGTCACTGAGTTCTTGCAACAACCGTCATTGAAGATGAGCTCCAGGCGGAAAAAATTTATTTCCATTCTAATTTGGGCAAATTTAAAAGTAATAAGTAAAAATCACTCTGATAAAATACCTTTCGTGTATCAGACGTAAACGAAGTCGCTTTTCATTTATTAAAATTGCAGTCACTGGATTTTTGTTCTTTTAAAACTTCAACCGGATAATCGAGATCTGTATAAGCTGCTACATCAACCCAGATCACGCAATACAAACATATCTGCACTACAAACCTCAGTGATATTCCACCTGGAGTGAATAGCGTAGATGTCGTAGCCCAAGATGTTCTCGAACTGCGCGTCGATCATTTCCTTTCTCACGTAGAACCTGCCGCCACCGAAGTAGTTGTGCGAGGGCAGAGCGAAGAACAAGTTATGCTTCTCGCCGTACCGCAGCAGGATATTCTGAGGAAATTACATGCAGTGTAAACATGCATCGTCTTGAAGAATGGCTTGAGGAGCAAAGAATTGACATAAATCATTTTACGTGTCAACACAGTTTGCGAGTACGATGTAATATAGTGTTTGGTTTGTATACATATCGATTTAATTGGTGTCATCGTAATGCATGCATACGTACAAGCTAAATGAAATTATTTACTGACAATTGGAATCTACGGAGATCAAAAATTTTTCATTAGAGGTTAATTATGTTATTAATTGCTTACTTATTACATGATTATTTCAATAGCGAGCATCGCTTCTACTTTAAGAGAAATTAGTGCTAAAAGCGACAAGTTAGCTTTATTTCACGAGAAAATGCCTAACACTAAATTACCTACTTAAATCGTTTCCAGTTAATATATTTCAACCCATCGCTTCTCCATTAAACTCTCAAATGAAATATATTCAAATTTTCAGTAATTTTAGCAAAGTATGTTCTTTTGGCTGAAGTCACTTCTCAAGTCATTGAGAAGAATGTATGGTACATGTTGGAATAAGGTGTTTCATTAACAACTTCAATACAAAAACCATTAATATCATTCCGACAACTTATTCCTAATTTTGTCAGAAAATGTATGCCAGTTGCGAAACCAATTTAAAATTTTCCATATTTGGGCTTTTGCCACACTGAGTTTTATAGAACTCATTGTTTTGTTGCACTGAAAACATTCAATTTCAACAAATTTTTACCAAACGTTTCTAAAATTAACCATGAAATCTCAGACCGTACGATTTACCATATGTGAACTTATAGAAGCAGACACAAAACTTCTATCAAAATCATAAAAAACATAATTCATGCTGAAATTGTAATTACGATTCATATAATAAACATAATTCATTCCAAGTAAAATTTTGATTACAATCGATGAATAAATGTGCTATTTATGTTTGCCTGCACAGCACTGGAGGCACATTTGTGGGTTTTGAGGAAGGCAATGTGGCGCTGTGGCGAACAAGACGAGTTAGTAATCATATCATAATTATCAATTATCATTTGTATAATAAATTATCAATTACTTAAAAAAGTATTAAATTATTTGAAAATATTCGAGGGACCGCAGCCCTCACAGTATGGCGTGGTCGTGCCGCTGGCCAGGCTGCCACCGTCGCGTCCAGCAGACGACCAGCAGCGCCGCGCAGGCCAGCGCCGGCAGCTGCCACCACCTCCGCCGCAGCATGGCAGCTCTCAGCCGCTCATACCATATCAAAACTTCTCGTACCATCCAGGGACTAACATTAATTTTGAAATATCATATGGGGATAACCGTGAACGTCGAGAAATCGACTTGCCAAAGAAATTAAAATTTATTTATTTTTGCATAGAGTTAAGCGAAAAGCGAATAAACTTGCCCGGAAGAGAAAAAAATATCTAGCTTTGTATACAATGTATGTTGCAGACAAAAACCCAATTGTCATGAGGTTAAAAAAAAAATAAATTAGCTATTAATTATCAGATAAAATGTAATTGAACTCAGGCATCAATTTTACTAGCTTCAAGTTCCATCGAATTACATCACTACATAAGATCGAACAGTTTCCGCACTACGTCCAATATTCAACGTTTCCGCTTCCTACGAAAACTTTTAACCAACAACACACTTGATTCAAATAAAAAACTTGCTTAAGAAAGCGATAGTTCACAAGACTAAACAAGTACTGCTTCATTTCGAAGCAGTACTTGCATTGATGACTGAATCATCAATGAGATTTTAATGAGGGGAAATAAACTCCTTGCCTAGATGCGAACTTCGCTCCAGCCACGTCCGGCACAACCGCAAGACTGACTTCCTCATCCGGTTGTACCTCACCCGCCGAGTGAAAGTCATACACTGGAGTGTGCAGTCTGCCTTGCAGGCTGTGTGAAGATCATCGTGACTGATCTTATGAAGAATAAACTTTGTAAATGTAGTTTGCAGGTGAACTTGAAACGCTTATTATAACAGTAGCAACGGTCTCTGTAGAACCTTGAACGGTATAGACGCTGCTAATGTGTAATGCAGTATTTTTAGTAGTCATGGTGCAGAAGAACATAGAGAGAGGGTGTAATTGTTAGGGGATTCGTTTTATTTTCTTGACATTTTCCAGATGGTTCTTTGGCTATATTCAACTAAATCTGACATTGAAGATAGAAAGTTACAGATCTTACACCAGGCATTGAAAATTACATATCATGCCTCTGCAGCCAAGTCTGAATAACTGTTCATATTACTCTCTTGAACGCTTTCATTTCCAAGGTAATAATGACGTCAGCAGAAAGTCTGTTCCGCATGTGGGTGACATGAAACGAGAAAAAAATAAATAAATTTTGTTGCATCTGGATGGAACCATATTTTCGTTTTTTTTTTACCAAGGCAGGTAATGTAAATTTATTATTAATCGTGTATATTAAATCATGTTTTTACCAAGGCAGGTAAGGTATATTTATTCTATGTACTCTTTTCTTAATGCTTCTCAAAATGACGGCTTTAGCCAAACGTACACTGATGCACAAATACAATTCTGTATCAAATAGAAATCATGAAAATACCTATAACTCATCCTGGCAACCTTCGCTCGCATCAATTGGCATCCCGAACCTTGCATGCGAAACTCAATCAAGATTTTCTATGCACATTGCACAGCCGCTCATTACACTGGCATGAATGAGATCCTGCGACGCTTCATTCTTACTTAATTTTTGCTCTTGCACTTTAATTAGATCTCTATTGAGTTTCTTTCATCATGCCACAATCATACCATGTTCTGCACCTCACTTCACTAATGAACATGTTGCTGGCTCAAGACATGTCAACTTCGCAGTTCTTCGCAGTCCGCTACAGGTACGAAATATCGAAGGCGATCGATATTAGTTGGCATGCTTTCTGTATTAGCTTAATTATACCAAGTACAGTAGTGTTGTAAGTTTTGAATGTAAGTAAGCGTTTGCTGATGGAAAATATCTATTTTCCATTTATTCACTGACGAAGAACTTGCTAGCGTATGCGCTGTATGCTTTGTGGCCCACACTATTTTAATTCAAATCTACATCTACATATACAAATGGGGCAAAGTGCGTTCAAGAGATTGATGGCTCACTTCTTTTCGGGGTTTCAAAGTCGGGTCGACAGCAAGGAACTTTGTTGATCTGACGCATTTAGGAGGACATGGGTCAATGTCTAAATAGTGACGCACTTTCTTATTCAAATAAAATAGTGACGCACTTTCTCATTCAAATAAAATAGTGACGCACTTTCTCACCCACAGCACGATCATAGAGCGGCCGTTGCAATTATACGGCCTTTTGCTGAGCCAAGACCAGTCTGAATGATCTTCACAATGGCGAAAAGTGCTTCGATATTTGGACGAAATCTCACTCATTTCCCGTACTGTAAAGAATGATCTCAATTAATCATTACTGTCGCTTATATGCTATGCAGTTCAAGGGAGGTTTACCTTATAAAAATAAAGTATCAATGAATTTACTCCTTGACCGTGTTGCAGTGTTTGCTGAAAATTAGGGCCGTAATTAGGCGAATATCACAAAGCGTTTCGGAGTCAGCAAGATTTTTTCTCCGCATGACGCTTATCTAGTTAGAGCCCTTAGTTTAACTATTATTATATTATGCATTTTTGAAATGATTGTATAGGATCCGAATCGTAAGAACTAAGCTTTTTATGTTCATGATTTCTTTATTTTTATTGTTTTTTTTTGTTCTTTATTGCAGGAAAATTATTTTCATCACACATAAAAGTTATTCATTTTCTATTAGCCGTTGATGATTTCCACACAAAAAACATTGAATACGATAGTCTGTCATCAGATTAATGTAGAAAACGAGGATCTTAGAATATTACTCTACGGTTTTCTTGTTCTGTTTATGAAATGAAGTTAAATTAATATTGTAAACGGTCATTTAAATCATATCCCACAGACAGCTGAATCATGAGTAAAAAAAACGGATTTACAAACTAGTAAGTTTCAAATTGGCGATAATGTTTCATTAAGTAAGATATTGCACAGCAAGAGGTGATGAAAAATATAAAAAAAAATTTCGACCGCAATATCAATTTAATAATTTCACTTGCAATATTTTCGAAAAATATATGAGTTGGTTTCATAATTAACTAGGATAAATATTCATTTATATCAAGTCTGTTGTAATCCGCTTATCCGCTACCATAGCATCAAACTCATGCTGCTCTCAAGTAATGTTATCAAGAAAAAAATGACCCCAGCATTAGGTTGCAAATGATAAGCGAAAGACGTGACCTAAAAGAAACACACAGATGCACAGTCCTTATTTAATTCTGAAAATTCAATGAATTCTGAAATTCAATAACGGGACACTATTTTATAAAAGCTATCACGTGAATTTGTGATTAGAATTTCTGGATCTGTCAATTATAAATCATAGTGAGGTCTAAATGCACGGCATCGATATTGTCAATGTTATTCGGTTTGTAGGTAAATGATATTCATGGATTTCTCATTCTTAGCTATCGTATTCCACTTGCCGAGGTTCCTAAGCTTATGACAGTGAAACACTCTACTTAAATTTATGGGGTCTCATATGTACTGAAATAGGCACCTAAACCTTGCATTGTTAAAAATTTTCAGTACTATTTTACTATTTTTTCAAACCGATAATTACCAAGAATTTAAAACAAGGAAGATTTTAGGTAAATTCACTGTATTGCATTGAAAACTTTTCGGTATTCAGCTCCTTAATAAATTCAAAAACTCAGAGATTACAGGATAGTCAATCGCGTGATCTGGTCGCCCTACGCCTAACAGTGTGACTTCCCTTCCTGTGCCTGAGAGCGATTTGAGATATTTTTCAAGTCAGCTTCAAATTTAAGGATCTGGGAATCACTGTATATTTTTGAACGAAAATTCTGTCTAAATAACGTTGATTGTTCTCATCTCCGTGAAGTTTTAAAACAATAGGGTGTTGCGTCATTTTACCCTTTACCACAAAAGCATCATATAACCTGTTTATTACAAACCCGTCATTTAACCCGTTTATTACGAACCCGTCATTTAACCCGTTTATTAAAAACCCATCATTTAACCCGTTTACTACAAACCCGTCATTTAACCCGTTTATTGCAAACCGGTCATTTAACCTGTTTATCACAAACCCGTCATTTAACCCGTTTATTACAAACCCGTCATTTAACCCATTTATTACAAACCCGTCATTTAACCCGTTTATTACAAACCGGTAATTTAACCTGTTTATCACAAACCCGTCATTTAACCCGTTTATTACAAATCCGTCTTTTAACTTGTTTTTTTTTTTTATCCCATGTAAGCCTTCGCGTTATAATTTTGTGCCTGCATTTTGAATTTATTGCAGCTGGTCTCCAAAAGCTTCTATTGTGCATCTGCTTGGAATTTAAATTAATTTTGTATTATTTGGGAAATATCTTCGGAGTGAATTTAGCCAAAAATGCGCATTACATAAGTTTTTGTACAATGAGAAGTGCTCCCTTTGATGTGAGAAAATTTAACAAATTACCTTTATTATCGTTGAATTTTCCCGAAGCATTATTTAGGAATTCTGAACAGATTGAGTTACCGTAATGCACTCAGCGCTACCAGGGCTTAAAAGATAATTGATAAGCGAGATATATTTTATATAATACTTTGGAGATAAATTTGGTGGCAGTCAAGATAAATATAAAAGCGAGACAAAATTGATAAGGGAAATTTTGAGTCGCTGAGGGATATATTTGGTCGTAGTCATGACGAATGTTTAATGAATTTAATAGTTTTATTCTCATAAGATGAAATGACGCTGGCTGTTCGGCACGAGAAACCATAATTGTTTTACCCGTAGACTTGATAACAGCTACTAGAATGTTTCCCAGTTGCCATGCCACAATTGTTATTGGATGTTCATTTTTATACTTCAACGGGTTCTATGTTTTGTGAATACCTGGAAATATCATTAGCGTCATGTACAATGTTTATTGCAAGAAATCAACCTC